GATGGCCTGCGGCCACTCGAGTACTACAGCAAACGAATGCCCAGCGTAAAGGAAGCCACTTCCACCTACATGCGCGAGCTCTACGCTTTGCGTATGGCGTTGGATCACGGGAAACATTACCTGTTGGGACGCCACTTCAAAGTGTTCTCAGATCATGAGACCTTGAAGTGGATCAAAATGCAGACTACTCTGTACCCTACCTTGCTTCGCTGGTTTCATGAGATTGACATCTTTGATTTTGAATTGAGGCATAAAAAGGGCTGTTACAATCGAGTCGCTGACTCTTTGTCTCGCCACCCTGAGTACATGACTTGCCTTGTGAAATCCTACGACCTCCGGAAGAAATTGAAGGAGGAACTCGTAGAGCAGACAGTCAAGGATCCGGAACTTAGTTCCATCCTTGAGCAGCTGCAGGCTGATTCTAGTAGTCAGCCTGATTTCCATGAGTATGGAGGACTGATTTTTCGCCGATACGGGAACCATGACCGCTTGTGTGTACCCAACCATGAGCCTCTCCGCACACACCTTTTGGACTTGGCTCATGGCCGGAGCGGGCATTTCGGCATGGCTAAAACGTACGCTAATTTGCTAAGACAGTTTGATTGGCCCGGTATGAAAGGGACTGCTGAGAAATTTATAGCTGAATGTCAAGTCTGTCAACGAATCAAACCATGCAGACAAAAGCCCATGGGGCTACTCACACCCCTACCCATTCCTGACGGTCTCGGGGAGTCCGTCTCCATCGATTTCACTGACATGGGTAAGGTAAGCAAGAACGGGTTTTCACAAGTCATGGTGATTGTTGACCGGTTTTCAAAGTTTCTCAATCTAATTCCTTTACCGCCTCACGCCCCAACAGATCTAGTGATTCGTGAATTCCAGGAGAAATACCTGTTGCAATTCGGAACCCCGAAGACTCTTGTGAGCGATCGGGACCCGCGTTTCATTAGCACTGAATGGAAGGAGTTCACGTCCCACCTTGGAATCAAACTGTGCATGACATCTGGCCGACACCCCGAAGCCAACGGTTTGGCTGAGGAGATCAACCAGACTGTATTCCAGCTACTCCGTGCGTTCATCATTCCTGATCAGGAAACATGGGATGAGGAGCTGTATTCTGTCAAGGGGTTGTACAACAACTCCGTCCATTCTGCCACAGCAACGACACCTAACAGGCTGCATTACGGGTGGCAGATCCGTAATCCGCTCTCTTACTTATTCCCTGAACAGCCAGCTGGTTTAACACCCGGCAGGCCCGGCTTCAGGGCTAAGTATGATCGCTTGCTCAAAGTTGCTGTTGCAGCCATGACCAAGCGACAGCATGCCATGATTCACCATGCGAACAAGAAGCGCAAGCCATCGGAGATTCAGGTAGGAAGTTATGTCTGGGTAAAGATGTCTGAATTCTCAGAGGAGGAGGGAGTCTCACGCAAACTCCTCCCACTCTACTACGGGCCTTGGGAAGTTTTGGATGTAATTGGGGAAGATCACTTTGGCCCTTCGTATGTTGTCGACGTGCCAGCTCACCTGTGCACGTATCCCGTGTTTCATGCATCTAAACTGAATCTCCATCGTGATGCCGAGACATTCGATTACCGCGAAGGTATGATCCCTCACGCGATCAAGGGCGGGCATGAGATAGATAGAATCAAACAGCGTGTAGGTAAAGGGAGAAACAGACAGTACCAGGTTCATTTCATGTATCACCCGTTAGATGATCTCTACTGGATCTCCAAACAGGAACTGCTACGCTGCGCACCGCGCATTGTTAAAGCTTACGAGCGACAGATCGCCGCTAATGCCACACCAAAGATCTCAGCAAGGCTCTCTGCAACAGAGTATTCCAGGAATCTCTTTGCCTTGCTCGCCTATGATGCGTTTGCCGAGGACTCAGAATGAGTTACTCGCTCGAAGGGACCTCGCTCTTGAGGGGGGGGTAGTGTGATAACCCGTCCGAACACGGACTGAAACACAGCTGATTTCTGAGTTTTGCTCATAGACTGAATGCCCTACTGAGTTCCCCGCCTGCTAAGTCTGTGTGTGTGTGTGCTTGCTGGACTGCATGTCTGTCTGAGTGCTGGTTGGCTTGCGTGTGTGACCATGCCTGTCTGAGTGCTGTTTGGTATGAGTGTGTGCGTGTGTGGCCCGCCAGGGCACTTGTTCGTTCGTTGGGGCCCTCAGGGCCGGTACTTACCTGTGGCTGTGGCTTCGAAGGGTTGCAGCTGGGAAAAAGCACTCAAGTAGCGGGTAGGCCGGTACCGCACCCGGCAGGGGGGTAAATATGCAGGTACCGGAGGCCGAGCAGAAGAAGACAAAAGTGGCATTTTTAGAGGCCGGTAGTGTAGGCTAGGTCTAGCGGGTACCAGTCTGAGTCTAGGGCCTGTAGGGGCAATATCAGAGTCTGCAATGATGTTCCCTCCAAAAGGAGGAAGAGGTACCGGTTGCTTGGGAAGGCCAGCGGCCTGGAAGTCACTGCCCAAGAGGCAAAGCAGGCCGCTATATCTTCCGGCCGGGCGGAAGACCCGGCCTCTTTTTCGGTGTGCAAGTTTGGCGACACACTGGTGGAGCGCTGGAGGGAGCAGCGCTGGGTTGGAGCTGCGCTGCTGGGGAGGAAGAAGAAGGACACGAAGGAGGGAGRAGGAGGAAGGAAGGAGGAAGGGGGAGGAGCGCCAGGGGTACTTACCTGGCTATGGTGACAGCCATCTTCATCACCTTGGTGGGCGCTGCTGCAAGGAGTCCCCAGCCGGGGGAGCTACACCAAGAAGCTTCAAGGCAGGGCTGGGCATGGCGGCCTGAGCTGGAGCAGCCATAGCTGCTCTGTGTTGTCCTTTGGACATCGGAGCAAGGCCTAGTAGTCCGCCATAGCCTCGGCCTATGTTGTATGAAGAGTGGGAGAGGCGGCCATGGCTATGGTGGACCTTGAGTGATACCTGCAGTAGAAAAGGGACTCGGACATGATTCTGGATCAGTCATTCAACATTGTACTATTATTTCTTGTATGAATAAGAAGAGGGGGAGATAAGGAGGAGGAGATTGTTGGGCGAAGAAGAAGAGCCTTGTCATCATCTTTGCTGGTGTACTTCTTCTTCTTCTTCTACTCTCTCTCCTCTCAAGTTCATTCATTTCTTTCTGCAATTGGATGGCATTGTACTTCTCAGTGGATGTGTATCTCGAAATCTGCCAGGGTCATAACATCTTCTTCTTCTACTTTCTTTCTTCTTGTTCTTTCCCTCTCTCTCCTCTCAAGTTCATTCACTTCTTTTTGAAATTGGACGGCATTGTGCTCTCATGAATTTTAGTATTGTACTTCGAAATTGGCCAGGATCATAACACTTATGGGGACAGGAGAGTCCTCAAGTGAGGCAACGGATTGTTGTGGCCACTCTGCTCCCTTAGGAAGATCTGATCCTTGTGATTAGAGAGTACTGAAAGACGGGGGTGCTGAGCTTCATGGTATAGCGGCAAAGGGGGACCCACTTGGGGAGACTAAATAGACATATGGATGCCACACAGTTCATATAAATCGGACGATAGGTCCTTAAGACCATAAATACAGTATAATGGGTCCAGAGTCCACATTTCACCGAGCCAAGGGTCCTTGCCAGTGTAATGGTTCCAGGAGGTGTGCTGCCCGAGGGACTGGGTACACACTGTTCGTCCCCCACCTGGGGAGGGCAGTCCTCAACCGAGAAGACTGAACAGGGGTCTGAGGCTCACAAGCGTGGGCAAAAAAGTCCCTGAGGAGTCATGTGTGTATAGTACTGTATACACTATAGTGAAGGGTGTAGGGAATTTTGATGACCAGTCACCCCCAGGATGGCTGTTCCACAGAAAGCCTGGCCCTGCCACCTTAAAAAAAATAAAAAAGAAATGAAAGTTGCCACCAAAACAGCTATAATGACTGTGCCCTCTCTTTGCACGAAGACAGTAGAGGAGAACAGAGGAGTATGTGCAGCGGTCACCACAGGGTTATGGGCAGCAGAGGAACCTATTGTGGTTTATCGCCAACAGAGGATGGCCACTGGAGGGGTATGAATATCAGAGGAAACCACAGTTCTATCACTGGCAGATGAGCAAGTAGGGCCAAGATGAGAGTGCTGTGTGGGCTAATGGGGAAGTGGACAACGTAGGGACCATTGCAGCATAAGTCAGAACACAGAGAGAGGCGCATTACATCGGTCGAATGAAGTGTTGTGCTTGCAGTTTCAAAGTTACACCAAACATTCCAGATCTGATCAAATCTGGTTAGTTGTCCAGCACAGCCGCTTGCTGATGGGAAGTGATGTTGGAGAAGACACACGTATAATGAATGGCAGGGACGTTGCAGGAAGCCTCATCAAACACACTTATGTGAAGTGAGACCTCAGAGCGAACTCGGGGATGTATACCTGGAAAGGGACAGGAGCCATGTGGTGCTGTCGTTTCCTGTTCCCTTCCACTAAAGGGCGTTGCATGGTGCTGGTGGTGATTGCCCCCATGAAAGAACACCCATAAGGTGATAGGAGCTCGATCGTCAGGTTGCGGAAGATAACGCGAAAATCCCTTGGACCCAATTTGAGCTTTGGTGATTTGCAACATAGCATCCCAAGGAAATTCTTGAAAAAGTCACTTCGACATATTGGAAGCCTAGAGGCACGAAGTGTAGGGAGAATGCATGTTGCTGAGCAGCTGGGATGTGACAATGATGAAGTTCTTTATAAAAGCAGGCTTTGTAAGGGATGCTGGTCCGCCCGGTTTCCTGTCATGAATATAATTTCTTTCTCTGGAGAGGAAAGCAGGCTTATTCCCCATGACGATAAATGTGCATTATCTGCCTATCAGTGTGTGCATGTCTGATTGGGCATATGTGAGTAGTTTTCTGCATTTGTGAATCAGAGAGAGTGTGAGAGAGTGAGGGAGGGGATGTATTTTGGGTGGTAGATTTGTGAAGCAGAGTGTTCTTATGGTGATGTGCTAACACTTGTATGCACGGGTTGTCATGGATGGCGTTTGCGTTTCAGGGAACGGAAATCATCGATGTTTCATATGATCAAGATACCACAGATCTTCACAAGTGTATTTCTTTTGTTGTTGAGTCAACTCCAATGGTAGAGCAGGTAACACGGTGTCCTCGTCCTGCGATCGGAAAAAGGAACAAATGGCAAGAAAGTACCAAGGAAGCAAGAAAGGGAGGTGATGCATTGAGGAAGAGAGGGAGATATGGAAGCAAGGAGGGAAGAAAAGAGAGAGAGAGGGTGGAAGGACCCAAGAAGCATGTGAGGGAAGCAGGAAGGAAGGAATAAGGAAGGGAGACAGAAACACAAAAAGGGAGGCACGCAGGAAGTCACATACGTACGTAGGATGGTAAGCAAGAGGGAAGTTGGCACACTGAAAGGGACTCCGAGCGGGGAGGGCATGAATGATGCAGGCAAGGGATGTTGACAGGGGATGGATGGATTGCAAATGGTGGGATGTTGGGAAGGAGAGGTGGATGGATGAAAAGACGGAAACATGGCTGGAAAGATGGGCAGGTGCATGAGAGGGAATAAAGACGGCCGTTGAAGAAATGGGTTGGAAAGGGGAGTAGAGGAAGGAAGACACTCAGGAAGCAAGGCAGGAAGTAAGGCATGGACGCAGACAGGAAGGAAGGGAGGGAGGGAGGCGTAAAGGAAGACAGGCAAGCATGTTCCCATAACCGGCACCAGGACCGGTCGTGACTGGCCAACCGCCCCGGTTATGCCCTCCCCGAGCATAACCAGCCTGGTCATGACCGCAGTTATTACCCAAAGGGGGTCGTGGAGGGGTCCAAAAGGGGTGAGACCCAGGGAACGGGGCTGTCAAAGTCCAGCCCCACCCTGTGTGTGTGCATGTTTGTGTCTGCGTGTGTGTGTGTGTCTGTGTGCATGTGTGTGTGTGTGTGCTCGCGCCTGTTGGTGTGGGTTTGAGTGTGTGTGTGTGTGTGTGTGTGTGTGTGTGTGTGTGTGTGTGTGTGTGTGTGTGTGTGCGTGCGTGTGTGCGTGCGCGCGCGTGTGTGTGTGTAAGAGAGAGAGAGAGAGAGAGAGAGAGAGAGAGCAGGGGCCACACTTTGAACTGTCAGATATGCAGCCAGATTCATTCCAAACTAGCACTTGCAATTGGCCAAGTTCCAAGCATGTGGCCCCTTCTCTCTCTCTCTCTCTGTCTGACACACACACACACACTTACACACACACACACACACACACTTACACACACACAAGGATTTCCCAGTTTTTTTGGACCCTTAGCAGTGGGGGTCGGTGTGTTCTTGCTGGAGGAGTCGTCTGTCTTAGGTAAGTTGTCTCTTAACTTCTTCCTCCTGTTTGGCAGCGACGCGAGTGTGTAGTTTGAGATGAATGTCGGGAATGCAAATGCTGTTATATATGTTTGTTTTTGGTAAATGAGTTTTTGGTTTTGTGGGCCAATGCGGAAGGCTCTCCAAGTTTTTTCCGGACCTTTGAGGGGGTTGGGTCGGTGCCTTCTTGCTGTGAGTAGTCTTCTGTCTTAGGTAATTTGCCTTCTGCCCTCCATCCCCTTATGGTTCGAAATATATATGTATACGTAGGTATATGTGCAAGTGTCCCGCTTTGGCGGCAGACGGGTGTGTGGGGAATTGGCGCTGAACCACACAAACGTGGCCAACCTTGCATTATTGCCTATCTAAACTGTTTCGTTATGGATGGCTTGTGATGATTTGTGAAGGGAATGAGAGAGAGAATCCGGGGTCTTTTACAACACCACACACACACACACATGCACACACAAGCGCACTTGTGTGTGTGTTTGTGTGTGGAGGAGGGGGGGGTATGTGCGTGTGTTTGTGGTGAAATAAAAATGAAGCACCCCAGCCGTCAAGCTTCAGATCAGACGACCTTTCCCAAAACAATGCATCGCAATATTAGGCACGGTGGAACACAAGGCTGGCATTCAAAGAATGCTTTTGTACGAACCAACCAAGTCCTCATGGCAGGAGCGAAGTGTGCGGTGATTGCCAGCGTCTGTGTGGTGTTGTGTGGTGTGCGTTGGACACTACAGCCTTGCAGGGGTGGGGCGGATATCACGGCCGGTATGGTTCTGCTTTTGAACACCGTGTCCTGGCTGTAGTGGTTACGATACTTGGCTCTTGAGGCCGAGGTCGCCGGTTGGAGTCCATGCTTGTATGGAGGAGGGCTGAGGCCAAGAGGTACGAATACAATGACATTGGAAAGCTCTCTTGAACTGACGGGCAGTTGAAGTCCCGCATAAGTGAGCGGGCTATACTACCGATGGGGGGTCATGTACTACTTGGAGCGAAGTGTGTGGAGATTGCCAGCATCGGTGTGGTGTTGTGTGTGGTGTGTGTCGAGTGTGGACACTACAGCCATGCAGGGGTGGGGCGGATATCACGGCTAGTATTGTTCCGCTTTTGAACACCGTGTCCTGGCTGTAGTGGTTACGATACTTGGCTCTTGAGACCGAGGTTGCTGGTTTGAGTCCGTGCTTGCACGGAGGAGGGCTGAGGCCCAGACATTGGAAAGCTCCTGTGAACTGGCAGGGAGTTGAAGTCCCGTATGAGTGAGCAGGCTATACTTCTGATGGGGGTCATGTGCTACTTGGAGCGAAGTGTGTGGTGATTGCCAGTGTCTGTGTGGTGTTGTGTGTGATGTGCATTGAGTGTGGATACTACAGCCTTGCAGGGGTGGGGCGGATATCATGGCCGGTATGGTTCCGCTTTTGAACACCATTTCCTGGCTGTAGTGGTTATGATACTTGGCTCCTGAGGCCGAGGTCGCTGGTTCGAGTCCGTGCTTGCAGGGAGGAGGGATGAGGCCCAGATGTACTGATCCAATGACATTGGAAAGCTCCCGTGAACTGGCGGGCAGTTGAAGTCCCGCATAAGTGAGCGGGCTATACTACCGATGGGGGTCATGTGCTACTTGGAGCAAAGTGTGCAGTGATTGCCAGTGTCCGTGTGGTGTTGTGTGTGGTATGCGTTGAGTGTGGACATTACAGCCTTGCAGGGCCAGGGCGGATATCATGGCCGGTGTGGTTCCACTTTTGAACACCGTGTCCTGGCTGTAGTGGTTACAATACTTGGCTGTTGAGGCCGAGGTCGCCGGTTCGAGTGCGTGCTTGCACGGAGGAGGGCTGAGGCCCGGAGGTACTGATCCAATGACACAAGAGCTCGGCCTGACAGCCGAAAGAGCAACGCTGAATAGAGAAGAAAAACTGACAAACAACGGGAAGGCAAAGGGTAGGAGGCAGCAGCAACAAGGGACAAAGGCTGGGGGGCATGGGGGAGACGGGGTGGTGGTGTCATCTTCGCTGAATTTGTCACTAAAGCTGCCATACTGCCTTGATTTTTTGCATTTTCTTGATTTTTGATATGTATGTGCTTTAGGGTATATTTGAATTGGCAAAAACACTGAATTTGGTGACAAAAAAACAACGTAGGACCATTAGCGAAAAAGTTGGCAAAAACACTGAATCTGTTGAACGCGTATTTGAATTCGGAAAGCATTTCTGTGTTTGTTTGTTTGTTTGTGTGTTTTTGAGTTCTTTATTTTGTTTTCTTTTACCTGTGTTTTTTTTTTTTCTATACTCTTTATAAAGGGAACAGCGGGTCTCGCGTAGCGCTGTCCCGAACCCGGCCTGCCTGTGTTGGGAAAGAGGTGGGGGACAAGGCACGGGCCCAAGAGGAATTTCGTGAAAGCGGAGGGGTTTTTTTTTTGGCTGGTGTGCGACGGCTCAAAGGGTGCCGCCGCGCGATAGAAGCGTTTCGGAGTCCGGCGGGCTTTTTTTTTTGTTGTCCGAACGTGTTTTTGCGTCGGTTTTTTTGTGTTCAGTCGGCCGTTGTGCGGGGGAAAAAGAAGGCGAACGGTTGAGAGGTGTGAACGTTGGGTGGCGGGCGGCTGTTGGACCGGGGAAAGAGAGGGTGACTCTTCCGCCCGATTTTCTCCGGGTGCTCGCTATCTGCCCTGCTCCTTACCCAGATCCCGACTTCCTGCCACGTCATCTCCGCTGTCCCATCTCCCTTTCCTTCTCTTCGACTACCCCCGATCCTGACTTCCCCAACTCCGATCGATCCGGATCCTGCCTCCCCTCGATCGATCCGGATCCTGCCTCCCCTCGCCCCGATCCGGATCCTCCCCTCCCTCCTCAACCGCATCTCAACGACTCCTCTTTCTGATCACCTTCCCCCTTCCGCCCGACTTTCTCCTGGTGCCCTTCCGCCCAATTTTCTCCGGGTGCCCGCTACCTTCCCCACTCCTTACCCAGATCCCGACTTCTTGCCACGTCATCTCTGCTGTCCCATTTCCGTTCCCTTCCCTTCGACTACCCCCAATCCTGACTTCCCCAACCCCGATGGATGTCGATCCTGCCTCCCCTCGCCCCCATCCGGATCCTCCCTTCCCTCCCCAACTGCATCTCGACTTCCCTTCCTCCCTGAGCCTGACCCTACTTCCCTCCTGCGCCCACCTTTGCTCCCCCCACCTGGCGCGCACGTGCGCGCGCACACTTCCTCCAACTCCTCCCCCCTTCTGC